TTATCAGATTGGGTACCGGTATCGTCTGTGAACACGAGTCCTACTTTCAAACTGGCTACTGGTTGTAGGTCTGCCCTCATGATTTGCGTTCAACGACTAACTCTTTTAGGTGTTACGACAAACACCCGAGGTACACGCTCCGACAACCTCACGGCCCTGAGCTCTTATGTGAGTCTGGCTCCCGTTACTCCGCATTGATTCGGTGTTTGGGCTCAGTTCTCTACAAAAGCCCCTCGTGGTGCCGTGGCCGGTGGCGGACGAGGACCCAAAGTTGCGACTGCAGTGGAAAAGAGAAAGGAGGGTTAAGTCGCTTTTGAATAACCCCTCTGGTCGATAGGCTCATCGCAGGTTCCCCGAGATATGTCTGGAAAGTGATCGAGATCATATCGTACCGACATATACCGTGAATGAGGTGCCACAGCCACCATGTAAGTTGATCACACCACTGAGGCGAGCTCGAATTGTCCCGATAGCTACGGTCTACGAGCCATACTGTAACGGTAGAGGTGTGTTCAACGAGACGGCACAGCTGTATGAGAACGCCAACGACATGGTGCTCAACTTGTGCACCTGCGATTCTGGATGGACCTCCTTGTTGTTCAAGAACCTGACCATTAGGTGTGTCACTCCTAGGACGGGTCGTCGGGAGGTATTTGATGCCTGCAGTTACTGTGTCGTGTGGAAGGACGTGATTTACGACTCGCGCTTTGATGAAGTCTACGGTAAGGCGTCGGATGAAGAAATGTGTACAAGAGTTTCATGTTGCTTTCATCTCAGATTGCGTGCCAACGTCCACTATCCCTTATGATAAATTTTTCCCGGCTGGTCGATGGGCGTAAGTGGGAGGATTCCTGTCGAATGATTCATGTAGTTTGCAGGTGTTATGACAAATACCCGAAGTATACTTTGACGGCACCACAGGGACCACAACTTCTCTGTATGTGTCGCCGGACGAGGGTATGTTAGTTTTGACGTTCACTTTTAGTTCATTTCCTACCTCCGAAGTGGTGTGAAGGTAGATGGCGGGTCAGAACGCAGATCTGCAATTGTGATAAGACTATGGATAAACCGTGGGTTGGGAGAGGAACTGTGATTGTTATAGACTCGATTATCTTTTCAGGCTCCCTGAAGTCTGTCAGGCTGATGAACGTGAGATGATCAGTCCAGTATTCGTCGCGCACGCGCGGCCTGAATCTGCTATCTCCACCAGGGCTCCACCTTCGGTGGGGTTCGGTAGGCTAAGGCGCTGATTTGGTAGCAGTTATCCTGTCCGTGGCAGATACGAACTTCGACTTATACTGCAATGGTCGTGGATACATAGATGAGACTACTCTGCTGAAGGAGTCAGATTCTGAGACTATGATACAAAACTTGTGTGTCTGCGACGAGGGATGGACTTCGATGTTCTTTA